CAATATAATTATGTTGGGTAAGTCCTCCATACAAAATAAGCTAGTAGCTTAAATTTCTGGACAAATAAAACACGGCTAATATTAATATTGGAGTCCCCTAGTATGATTGAGTTTTTTATGTTTAGAATTTCTTTTTCCAAATAATTTACGAAATTTCCCACATCAGAAGCGCAAAATCTATAGATACATGCAAATTGATATCTATTTTTATTAGATTAACTACTAAAAAGTTGCTTGCTTCAAACTCGGTTGATGATACCAATGTTGAAGGAATACGTTTATGGACATAGATTAGGCAGCCGTCAGCTCTATTTACACTGCGATTGGAAAAATAGGCATTGTATTCTTTTAAATTAAAATAAGGATTTTCATTCGCGTGCATCCATATTTCACTTACTGCTATTACATGAATTATCTTGTTTTTACTGTATTCTTTAATTAGGATTTCCAGGTTATTTAATTTATTTCTGATACTTTGGATCTACATTTCATCGGCATTTATATACCTTATATACTAGTAATAGAAATTTTCTTAATTTTTTTTTTAATCTTACATTTCATCGACTAGTATGGTAGCGCTGTTATTATCCTTTCGCGCCAGCACCTTGGCATCTTTTATCCAAACATACTTATAGCCTTTTGCTTTTGCNCTACATTTCATCGGCATTTATATACCTTATATACTAGTAATAGAAATTTTCTTAATTTTTTTTTTAATCTTACATTTCATCGACTAGTATGGTAGCGCTGTTATTATCCTTTCGCGCCAGCACCTTGGCATCTTTTATCCAAACATACTTATAGCCTTTTGCTTTTGCTTCTTGTTTGACCTTCTTAAAAAGGCTGCTAAACTCTTTTTTCATGAGCTGGTAAACATTGCTGTTTTTTCCACGCATGTTGATATTCAGGTTTAGAACTATTTTATTAGTAGCAATAGTTTCGTTTCTTTTTCGAAAATCGATGCATTTGGTTATTAATTCTTGGTTATTAATTTTTACAATAATTGGATACGTTTTGAATTTCTTGTTCTCGTCNTATCTTACATTTCATCGACTAGTATGGTAGCGCTGTTATTATCCTTTCGCGCCAGCACCTAGCCTTTTGCTTTTGCTTCTTGTTTGAACTTCTTAAAAAGGCTGCTAAACTCTTTTTTCATGAGCTGATAAACATTGCTGTTTTTTCCACGCATGTTGATATTCAGGTTTAGAGCTATTTTATTAGTAGCAATAGTTTCGTTTCTTTTTCGAAAATCGATGCATTTGGTTATTAGTTCTTGATTATTAATTTTTACAATAATTGGATACGTTTTGAATTTCTTGTTCTCGTTTTGATACACATCTATTATGTTGTCTTTTGTTATGTTTGCCTTCACTTGCGCAGCTATTTTGATTACTACTTCTTTTAAGTCAGTGTTTGGTATTTTTGGCATGTTTGTTATTATAATGTTACTAGCAGACCCGGCGAACTTCGTCCCGCCCAAAATTTGTATATATTTTACTGAAACTTTTTGGTCCAACATTTTCACCAACAATTCACGTTTACGATTTTCATTGGCACATTTGTCTGCTAAGATTAAGGTTTGGTGGTCATTTGCCGCTTTAAATAACCTAAGGAAAGTGTTATATCC